TATATATTACAATGTCCTATACCATTGTTCTGATATCTGGACAAATAGAGATCATATTTAAGACCAATCTCAGTTCTCTCTCAAGGATTTCACAGACAGGGCACATTATTCTTCATATAATCTAGTTTCTCAGATTATTTCTTCATCAGGTAGGTTAAATAAGATAAAACTTTATCATATACTTTGTCTGATTTTAAACTATACAATATCACCTTGTTCTTTTTTATAATTGCTTCTTGATCTATATACAAGTTTTGTCTGAGTACAATAAAATGTTCAGAAAAGTCCTTTTTTTTCAGGGGTACCTATAATTTTTTTATGATTCACATAGTGAGGTGGCATTAAGGATATAATATGCAATGAAAGATGAAGGTTATTAAAATAATAGAAAAGTTTATTGTTATGTACAATTGAGTTGCCTGCAACTGCAAATTCTTGAGCTATTTTGAAAAGTTATTGTTTCAAAACCACCAACATATACGTAGAAGAAAATACTAGAGAGAGAAAACAGTCTATCTGTCTCCCACAGTGCAGCTGGTGGATTTGATTTACCTGCCTTTGGGTTGGCAGCACTACTTTTTACCCACTAGGCTACCAGAATTCCCTTAACTGTGGACAATTTGGTAACAATTTTGGGTAATTGGGAATAAAGAGTTTCTCAATTACAAATCGAATTGAGTTGTTTGAAAGTGGTGAAATTCTGTTCTTCCTATGTAGGAATTTTCTTATATAGGAATGCCCTAAGAAACAAAGTAAACATAAAAATTAAAAGCATTCCTGAGTTCACAGTAGTCTTTTATTCTTAGGTAATTTACTTACTAATCAATACATCACCAAAATAGTGAAGGACGCAGAATCTAAATTAGAGATGGGTGAATTCAAACCCTCTCTCTCCTACTTTCTATATGACCTTGGTTAAATTAGTGACTTTTTTAAGCCTTAATAGCCTCATCTGGACACTCTATTACCTGTTGCTTTTGAGTGGATTCTGATTCATAGTTACAGTCTAGGACAGAGTAGAACAGAGTTCTACTGTCCCAAAGGATTTCTAAATCTTTACAGAAGTAGCGTGTCACACCTTTTCCCCCAAAACAGCTGTCGTAGTTAAACTATGTACCTTTTGTGAACACCAGAGTGCTAATCACGTGTTATAAGGTCTCTTTATCTGAACACCAGGAATAATAATTGAGAACTAACACACTAAAGACAATCAAACTCCGTACCAGGCCCAAGCCTATGTTCATACAATGTTAGATACTATTATTTTATCATAAATCAAAGACTTGGTCTTACCAATATAAAGTCTTGGAGCATTTATTGTAAACCAAATACACACTTTAAAGTTCATTTTGGTGGCATTAGAATAGACTCCCATTCCTTAGTTTTCACTGACCTTGGTTATATTCTTGACATAATGTCAACTGGAATGTACTTTTATGATTGAAAAAAAATCTTCCTTAATACAGAAAATATTCAGTGACTGGGGTAATGCAGATGGGTGTGTCGATGATAGGAAGATTGGCACAGAGTTTAGGGCTGTTGTACATAGGGTTGCTATGAGTAGCAGATGACTCGATGGCACTAACAACAACAACACAATACAAAAAGTTATCTAGAACAACATATTGTATTATTTAAATATAAAAGTGTTATTTTAAAAAAAAAGAAAAGTGCTATTAAGAATATGTTAAAGTCAGTATTTTTGTTTTTTTTTCTTTTTTTATTCCAGAGACCTTTCAATTTATTTCCAAAAGACACCATGGTTTCCCTTTCAGCCTCACCTTTTTCCTGAATGGACTGCAGGTGAACAGATTAAGCTCCTGCTGTGAATATAAGCATCGGAAAGGTTCCAGACTTGGAGGCAAAAGAGGCTACTTTGGGTTTGTGTGTGTCGAGAGAGCATCTCCCTGCTACAAGTATGAAATACATTCCTCTTGGTAGAGGGCAAGTTAGCTAACTATTTCTTCTTATGCTTTTATCCATGCATTTCTCTACAGTGAGCTAAAAACATATCAGAGCAGATGAGTTTAAAATTTGTTATACATTGTTTATTAGATCCTGAATGTTATGCTTGAAACTGTGAGATATGTATCTATAGACCATATTCTCAGATGCATTATTTAAGAGATAAAAGAAGGTGATATTTCAGTTGTTTTTAGTTCTCTCCTTACCACGTGAATGTCTCTTTCTGAATGAAAACAAAGAAGAATACAATGTGTCACAGTGTCAATCCATTTCATCCAGGCTCTTCCTCTCTGCACTGATCCTTCATACTTCCAAACGCAGAGATTTGGTTTTATAAAGAAGAGATTATTATAATATGTCAATGTGCTAGTAACTGATTCCCTAGAGGAAGAAAAAAAAATTGCTGAAGAATACTAATAAATCTTAAACCAAAACCCATGGCCATCAAGTGAATTCAGACTCACAAATGTTGCCTTATAAAGTTTCTGAGGTTGTAAATATTTTTAACTAATAATTTTTAAAATTAAAATTTGAGCAAACGTTTGCAAAGCAAATTGGCTTTTCATTCACCATTCTATGTTTCATTTTATAACATTAATGACAATATTCACAATGGCTGTAAATCTTAATGGAGGCAAACTATGATCTCTTCCTCCCATGGAGCAGCTAGTGAATGAAAATCTCTAAACCTTTTGGTTAACTACTGAATTCTTTATCCATAACGCTACCAAAGCTCCTCTAGAGAGGTAGAGCAAAGTGTAGGGCTCCAGTGGAAACACTGACTTAACAGGATAATTGTTCTCTTATCAGAAGAAGAAAAATAGAATGTCTTTGGTCTGTGGCCGACTTAAAAGTAAGCTGATGCACATACTGGGAGAGCTCTGCTCATTGTTTCTTTTTTCTCAGTCAAACAGGAAGCAGATTTATCAGCTAGATTAAAGATGAAGTATCAGGAGTTGGAGGCTGAGAGAAGTTTAAAAGAGATACTATAATGAAATGTGCAAAGAGCTGGAGTCAGAAAATCAAAAGGGGCAAATTCGCAAGGAGTTGAAAAACAAATTCAAGCCAGAGTGGCAATACTTAAGGATACTTTGGGCAGAGTGTTAAATGGCCCAAGAAGCATTAAAAGAAGATGGAAGAAGTATACAGAGTCCCTGTATTAGAAGGAATTGGCTGACACTGAATTTCATGAAATAACGTATGTTCAAAAGCCTATGGTGATGAGGGAGGAAGTTCAAGCTGCTCTGAAAGAATTGTCAAAAACCAAGGCTCCAGGAGTTGACGGCATACCAATTGACATATTTCAACAAACAGACACTGCCCTGGATGTGCGCACTAAGTTGTGCCAAGAAATCTGAAAGACGGCCGGCTGGCCAACTGACTGGAAGAGATCAATATTTGTTCCCATTCCAAAGAAAGGTGGACCGACAGAGTGCGAAAATTATTAAACAATATCATTAATATCACATGCAAGGAAAATTCTGCTGAAAATTATCCAAAAATGACTGTAGCAACACGTCAGCAGAGGACTGGCAGATATGCAGGCTGGGTTTAGAAGAGATCATGGTACTAGGGATATAATAGCTAATGTTAGATGGATCTTGGCAGAAAGTGGACAGCACTAGAGGAATATCTATCTGTGCTTCATTGACTATGTAAAGGTTTTTGACTGTGTGGATCACAACAAGCTATATCTGACTCTGAGAAGAATGGGAAACCCAGAACATTTGATTGTGCTTATGTGAAATCTATACTTGGACTAGGAAGCAGTCGTCAGAACAGAGCAAGGAGATACTGTATGGTTCAAAATTGGGAAGGGGGTCCACCAGGGCTGTATTCTGTCTCCATAAATTTTCAATCTGTATGCAGAACAGATCATCTAGGACACTGGACTGTATGAAGAGGAATGTGACATCAGGATTGCTCGATGATTCATTGACAGTCTGTTTTATGCAGATGACACAACCCTGATTGCTGAAACTGAAAAGGACATGAAATGCTTGCTCCAGAAGGTCAAGGACTGCAATCTTCAATAGAAATTGAAGCTCAACATTGAGAAAACAAAGGGCCAATTGGCAGCATCAGTATGGATGGTGAAGGAACTGAAATACTTAACAGTTAGTTTGCTTGGCTCCACAGTCAACACTCTTGGTAACCAGTAGTCAGGAAATCAAGAGATGGATTGCATTGGGAAAGTCAGCTATCATGGACCTTTCCAGAGTACTGAAGAGCAATGACATCAGGCTGGAGACAAAGGTGCGCCTGATTAGAGCTATGTTGTTGTTGTTCTTATGTGCCGTCGAGTCGCCTGCGACTCATAGTGACCCTGTGTGCAGCAGTCCTAAACTCCGCTCTGTCCTGTGCCAATTGCACTGTCTCTGACACTCCCATCCCAATTATTCCAGTCACTGAATCAACCCACCTCATAGAGGGCCTTCTTCTCCTGTGCTGTCCTTCCACCCTACCAAGCATGATGTCCCTCTCCAAGGACCGGTCTCTCCTCACAACATGTCCAAAGTATGTTAGACGGAGCCTCAGAA